ACCTATGAATATATATATAATATATATATATATATATATATATTATATATATATATTTCATATATATATATTATTTATATATATATATGCAAGAATTCGCGAGAGCATGCGAAATATACATAAACACTGATTTTCTGGCTGAAGGAGGACTCACGAACCTACGAACGCCTTAAGGCAAGGTACGCAGTGCTTTTTCCATTATACCACATGGACCATATACCTTGGCGTGTAGCATGAGATGAATAAGCTGTAAGCATTCTCCCTGAAGCTGGCCTGCCTGGATCAAACGTTGTGTGCTCTCATGCTACATCGCCAAGGTATTGTCCAGTGTGGGTAGATTGGTTAAAGCTACTGCGTTCCTTGTCCTAGTTTGTAGGTTCGAGTCTCCTTTCAACAGAGATCAGTGTTTGTATATTTATATATATTTATTTATATATATATTTTATTTTTTATATATTTATATATATATATATATAAAAAAATATATATATAAATAATTTTTTATTAACACATCTGACCGTTTTCCACCAAGGCAGTGTGGCCGAAAGAGAAAACTTTCCCATCATCCACTCACTCCATCACTGTCTTTCCAGAGGGAGGGGGTACTTACATAGCTGTTTAAAACTGACAACAACTGGCCACCCCTCGGAGTGCTGGCACTGTACTTTCCTATCTCCAGGAATCAAGGTCGACCTGACGGTTTTAAGTCAAGTCCTAAATCCACATGTCTCCATAACCTCATATCTAATACGCTTATGAACGCTTGAGACAGAGTGATTATTACAAATGGTATACTATATCCGACAGGTTGGTAGATAAGAACACATATGGAGTAACTTTATTCCGAAACGTTTAGCCTACACTGTAGGCATTTTCATGGTCGTGATGATGTCCTGATTACCTCCGTCTTCACTTATTACCTACTATGCTCCTGACTACTTTCATGTACTCGATGAAGAAGCCTACATGTGTAAAGCGGAGAAAACGTTTAGGAACTAAAAGGTGCCTATAGTCTTATCTATCAAACCTTCGGTTATTGTATACCATTTGATATTCACTCTGTCAGACACTGAACCACAATGGCATCTTGGTACAGAAGAGGAAGAACACCATGGCACAACTTTTTCAAGTGAGAATGTTTGAGATCAGAGAGAGGACTATGACTTCAGTTGCTACCTTCTCACTACTGCTACTCCTGCACATCTCCTTCCAACAGTTTTTAGTCTTTAACACTTGTTGTTGATCTTCAGTTAGTTCCAGACTTTGGAACACGAACTGTTTTCATGCTGAGGATGAAACCTCAAATTCTACGTCTTCAAGGGGGATGGACTTGATTTACATCGTCTTCACATCTCTATGCTCACTGCTCCTACCTATTTTCTGTAATCGACTGAAGAAGCCTACTGTGTAGGCGAAACGTTTCGGAATAAAGTTGCCTATGTGTCTTATCTACCAACTCCTCCTCAGACCTCTAGATAATAGTTTTGGAAATCCCACACCTCATCCTAATTTTCAAACTACGGATTCTCTGCATTATATTCGCACCACATATTGCCCTCGGACATGACATCTCCACTACCTCGAGCCTTCTCCTTGTTGCAATATTCACAGCCCACGCCTCACACCCATGGAAGAGCATTGGTATAACTATGCTCTCATACGTTACCCTCTTTGCTTTCATGGATAAATTCTTTGCCTCCACATACTCCTCAGTGCACAACTCACCTTTATCTCATCGTCAATTCTCATTCACCTCTTCCTTTATAGATCCATCTGCTGACAGTCCCACTCCCAAATATCTGAGACCACATTCACCCTTCTCAATACTCTCTCTCTCCAATCTGATATCTAATCTTCCATTACGTATTGTTTTGTTATCCTATTCACTTTACTCTTCTTTCTGTATTCACTTTTAATTTTCTCTTTTTTATCCCTACCAAACTCATTCAACAATCTCTGCAATTCTCTTCAGTATCTCCAAAAAACGGTTGTCATCCGAAAGAGCAACTTGACAACTTCGCCACTTTGTTTTGATTTAGATTCTTTATCTTTTAACTCCTACACCATCTTGCCAAACTCGAGCACTTCAAAGTCTCTCTTTCAATCCATCTTAAACATTATGAACAACCAAGGTGAACATCACAATCCTGTCTAAGCCTACTATTTTGGGTAAATAACTCTCCTCTATGTCTTCTTACTCTACTTAGCCTCACTATCCTCGTAAAAATTTTCACACTTTCAATAACCTACCTCCTATTCATACATTTGCAACATCTGCAACAATTGCCCACACCTATCCATCCCTTTCATATGCCTTTTCCCAAATCCAAAAATGGACCTATAAACCTCTTTTACCCTTATCTAAATACTGATTAACCTATATGTTTCCACTGCAAACACTTCGTCTACACACCCCCTCCCTTCCTAAAGCCTCCTTGTTCATCTGCTATCATTGCTTCTCCTTCTTACGCCTTAATCTTTCATATAATATCTAACCATACACTTTACCAGGTCATACTCAACAGAACTTATTTCCCCTATAATTTTTACATTCTCTTTAGTCCCCTTTGCCTTTACACAAAGGAACTATGCATGCTCTCTATCAATCCCTAGGTAGAAGATTGAGACACTGATGCAACATATGGGAATCTTTATTTAGGAAACGTTTCGCCACACAGTGGCTTCAATACAAAGCAGAAAGGTGTAAGGAGAGGAGTATTTTCAGGTAATCAGTCCCTCAGCTGGAGTCAATGGTTCACTCCTTCACTCTTGTAGAAATGTACAGATTAGGGCGTAGACCGTGATTTTTATTACTGTATCAGGTGAGGCAAAAGAAGGAGGAAGGGCGGGGTCATAGTTGGTACCATCCACTAGTCGAAGTTACGGTCTTCGTCCATAGGTTGGAAAAGTTTTGTAGAATTCTTTGTATCTAGACTTTCATGAGCTGTACAAGTGTTGAGAGTAGTGATGAATGGTTTAGAGAAAAAAAGCGCCCGAGTTGAAGGATGGAGACATTATACAACCATATTGGAATCTTTTTTGAGGAAACATTTAGGCCACACAGTGAACTTCATCAGTCCAAACTAGAAAGCAGGAAAGGTGTATTTGGACTGTTGAAGCCGCCTGTGTGACTTATGTGTCTCAATTTTCAACTTGTCGATTCTCTAAACCATCTCATCACAATTCTAGAGGTACCCTTTCCTCTTCCGTACATTTATTAAATATAAAACATTACCCACTCCCAAAAACTATAGGCCCACCTGCTTTCAACATTTTCTATCTTTTCCCATGAATCCCAGCTGCTTTACTTCCCTTTTCATTCTACTCACTGCCACGCACTTCCCCCACACTACAACTGATCTTCCTCACTCTCTATAAGATGTTATTCACTCCTTGTACATATACACGAAATTACAGCTTCATATATTCATCAACATTTAACAAATTCCTCAAAATATTCCCTCCATCTTCTGATACTCTAACTTTCCAATTTTTTTTTCATATGCCCCTCTCGTATTTTTAAACTAGCAACTCATTCTTTCCCTTTGCTTGCTAACTTATTAAATCTCACTCTAAACTTTTTATTATTTTTTTGAAAAAAAAATATGTTCATAACATCTCAATCATTCTCTCATTATGCTCTCTCTTTACATGCTTCATCACTTTTCAATCTCTCTTTTTCTTCCATATACTCCCCTTCTGTCATCACTTCTACTTTGCCTAAAACCTTCTCATATGGTACACTTTTTTTCTCTTTATTATTATTCTCTTTACAATCATCTTCCACCAATCAAGCTTTTCACTTCTGCACCCACTTCCTGTGCCCCAAACGTCCTGACTGAACAATGTAACGCTACCATTCATAAATTACCCAGTATAGATGTATGGGTAAGTTTAAGTGGTAAGGGTTAAGTTGTGGCTCCGGTAGGCCTGTGGCTAAAGCCCCCCCCCATCACATGGAGGGCCCGGGTTCGATCCCGGCGCGTGTGATGAACGTTTTGACTCAGTAGCTACAACTAAAACATGATTTGATATAATCTGTGGGCCCCTCTATAAATCAGTACATACTGAAGTTCTACCCAACACGTATACATATTCACATTGTATATATATACACACAATTATATATAGTTATATATATATATATATAAATATATATATATATTTTTATATTATATAATACTATATATATATATAGGGATGGTACCAACTCTAGACTGTTCTATTAGGGACCCTCATCCTCTGAAAAGAAAGTATAAACTTGCTTTCAGGGAATACTCAAGGTTCTCCCTGAAGCTGTTTGAGAATTTTCTCCTACCACCCCTATATTTCTATATATTTATTATTTAAAGACAAATACATTACAAAACATTTCACAAAAATACGATACAAAGTAAAAACAACATAGGATAACTCAGAGCTACATCTCGAATAAATACTTCGTCCCAGCTCCCGGCGGTGGGCGCGTGCCCAGAATGCTGTAGGCATTTCCTTCTGGATCGCATATATCTATATATATATATATATATTATATATATTTATATTATATATAATTATATTATGAATTATATACTATTATTTATATATTTATATATAATAAATATATCATATATGTATTGTGTTGTGTGTGTGTGTCAAATAATCAAAACTACTCTAGCCAAGGACTCGAACCCATGAATATATTTTCAGACTGAAGGCAATTACTTATTTCCTATTTTTAATTCAAGTGCAACCCTATCTGATTCTTTTAGTTTCCCTTGCAACATCAAATCCCAGCAGTTATCTAGCATTACACAAGAACTTATTCCTGCTGCATTTGTCAAAGTCTCTCCTACTCAAAACCGCTTTCACTTCCTCCAGCACTTCCTGAGATATTTCTTGCACCTCCTTTAACCCTTTACCGTCGAGATTTCTATAAATTAGTTAACTCATCCTTCTTGATTTTCAAATGATCCAAATATTTAGGAAAGATATCGCCACTAAAATTATTATACATCTAGATATGTCTGTCAACAGAAGTCTGTGGAGGAGCACAAGGCTGATTTCGACGCTGATAATCCAAGAGACTTCATAGACATCTACATCAACGAACTTAACAAAAGGAAATTCGAGCAGGACACAACATTCACAGGTTAGTTGTATGTATTTCCTGTTGTGTGAAGCAGTACCAACTCTTGTGTACTTGGGATCACATCTGTATTGTTTCCTTCTCGTAGACGATCAACTAGTTGCCATATGTACGGACGTGTTCAGCGCTGGAGTAGACACTGGATCGTCAACTGTGTCTTTCGCCATATTACTGTCAGTCCTGAACCCACACGTCATGCGCAAGATGCAGCAAGAGCTGGACAGTGTGGTAGGCAACGTTCGTCTTCCCTCCATGAATGATCGTACAAAGTGAGTGCCTACACTAGTTACTTGTACACCAAATTCTTCTTCCCATTTCCCTTCCATATATAGCTACAACATGTGATACCCATTTCTGTTTTATTTATATTTCGTTGGGGAAAAATCATGATACATACGTTAATCAAATAATGACCACACTCTTCGTTATGAGGGCTTTGAGAGCTTTTATTTGCTTATCGAGTATCACCACACATTACCGCAACACACCACGCACGCACGCAAACACACACACACACACACACACACACACACACACACACACACACACACACCACACACCACACACACACACAAACAATCACACACCACACACACACCACACCACACACACACACCAACACACAACACACACACACACACACACCACACACACACACAACGCAAGAAGAGCTCACTCCAGCAGCGCAAAGTTTGTGTGGTTTATTGGGGAATTTCAACCACAGGTGAGATGACTGGGAAAACCTGGGAGGCCACATGGGGGGTCCGAAACATGGAGAGCCTGGGATGTTGGACGTGGGTGCTGGGAAAAAACCTCATTAACAACAGTTAAGGACCACTACCAGAGTGAGAGGGGAGATGAACCAGCAAGATAGGACCTAGTGTTCACCCTGGGGCAGTAGATATTGAGGACATCAAGTATGAGAGTCCCCAAGGGAGCTAGCTACACGATGGTTCTCTGTGCTTTTGATACATTGTAGAGCTGCAAGTGGAGAGATAACAGGAGTTGAATGAGGAAAAGCCTGATATAAAAGAGGGGGACTTCATAGGGTTGAAGTACTTCCTGCGGGAGGTCCAGTGGGACTGAGAATGGCAGGAAAATAAAAAAAAAAAAAGCCGTAAATGAAAGTGGAATATGTAACAACAAAAATGCAGGGAGGCAGTGGAAGGTTTTATCCCAAGGGCACCAGTAACAACGGGAAGACCAGACACGAGCCCTGGTTTACCCGACGGTGTAGGGATGGCAAAACAAAGCTGCAATAGAGCAATGGAAAAAGTACAGGAAGGCAGGAACACACGAAAATAGGGAGATCATCCGCAGAGCCAGGAATGAGTACGCACAGGTAAGGAGGGAGGCCCAGCGACAGTATGAAAATGACATAGCATCGAGAATCAAGACTGACCCGAAACTGTTGTATAGCCACATCAGGAGGAAGACAACAGTCAAAGATCAGGTGATCAGATTAAGGACAGAAGGTGGAGAACTCACAAGAAATGATCAGGAGGTATGTGAGGAGCTGAACAGGAGATTTAAGGAAGTTTTTACAGTAGAGACAGGAAGGGCTGTGGGAAGACAGCACAGAAGGGAACATTAAGAGGGAATATACCAATAAGTGTTGGATGACATACGAACAACTGAGGAGGAGGTGAAGAAGCTCTTAAGTGACCTTGAGACCTCAAAGGCGATGGGACCGGACAACATCTCCCCATGGGTCCTTAGAGAAGGAGCAGAGATGCTGTGCGTGCCTCTAACCACAATCTTCAACACATCCCTTGAAACTGGGCAACTACCTGAGAAATGGAAGACAGCTAATGTAGTCCCCATATTTAAGAAAGGAAACAGAAACGAGGCACTAAGCTACAGACCTGTTTCTCTGACATGTATTGTGTGCAAAGTCATGGAGAAGATTATCAGGAGGAGAGTGATCGAACACCTGGAAAGGAACAAGATTATAAATGAAAACCAGCATGGGTTCATGGAAGGCAAATCTTGTATCACAAACCTCCTGGAGTTTTATGTCATGGTAACAGAAGTAAGACACGAGAGAGAGGGGTGGGTAGATTGCGTTTTCCTAGACTGCAGGAAGGCCTTTGACACAGTTCCCCACAAGAGATTAGTGCAGAAGCTGGAGGATCAGGCGCACGTAAAAGGGAGGGCACTGCAATGGATAAGGGAATACCTGACAGGGAGGCAGAACGAGTCATGGTACGTGAAGAGGTATCACAGTGGGCGCCTGTTACGAGCGGGGTCCCACAGAGGTCAGTTCTAGGATCAGTGCTATTTTTGATATATGTGAACGACATGATGGAAGGAATAGACTCTGAAGTGTCCCTGTTCGCAGATGACGTGAAGTGGATGAGAAGAATTAAATCGGACGAGGATGAGGCAGGACTGCAAGGAGACCTGGATAGGCTGGACATGTGGTCCAGCAACTGGCTTCTCGAATTCAATCCAGCCAAATGCAAAGTCATGAAGATTGGGGAGGGGCAAAGAAGACCGCAGACAGAGTATAGGCTAGTGGGACAAAGACTACAGACCTCACTCAGGGAGAAAGACCTTGGGGTGACCATAACACCGAGCACATCACCGGAGGCACACATCAACCAAATAACCGCTGCAGCATACGGGCGCCTGGCAAACCTGAGAATAGCATTCCGATACCTTAATAAGGAATCGTTCAAGACACTGTACACTGTGTATGTTAAGCCCATACTGGAGTATGCAGCACCAGTCTGGAACCCACACCTGGTCAAGCACGTCAAGAAGTTAGAGAAAGTACAAAGGTTTGCAACAAGGCTAGTCCCAGAGCTCAAGGGAATGTCGTACGAGGAGAGGTTAAGGGAAATCGGACTGACGACACTGGAGGAAAGAAGGGTCAGGGGAGACATGATAACGACATACAAGATACTGCGGGAAATAGACAAGGTGGACAGAGATAGGATGTTCCAGAGAGGGGACACAGGGACAAGGGGTCACAACTGGAAGCTGAAGACTCAGACGAGTCACAGGGACGTTAGGAAGTATTTCTTCAGTCATAGAGTTGTCAGCAAGTGGAATAGCCTAGCAAGTGAAGCAGTGGAGGCAGGAACCATACATAGTTTTAAGAAGAGGTATGACAAAGCTCAGGAAGCAGAGAGAGGATCCAGTAGCGATCAGTGAAGAGGCGGGGCCAGGAGCTGAGTCTCGACCCCTGCAACCACTATTAGGTGAGTACAATTAGGTGAGTACACACACACAAACACACACACACACACACACACACACACACACACACACACACACACACACACACACACACACACACACACACACACACACACACACACGCACACACACACACACACACACACACACACACACACAACACACACACACACACACACACACACACAAATATACACACACACACACTCAGAAGTGTCCTTGTTTGCAGATGATGTAAAGTTAATGAGAAGAATCAAATCGGATGAGGATCAGGCAGAACTACAAAGAGACCTGGACAAGCTACAAGCCTGGTCCAGCAACTGGCTCCTTGAGTTTAACCCAGCTAAATGCAATGTCATGAAGATTGGGGAAGGGCAAAGAAGACCGCAGACACAATATAGTTTAGATGGCCAAAGACTGCAAACCTCACTCAAGGAAAAAGATCTGGGGGTGAGTATAGCACCGAGCATATCTCCTGAGATGCACATCAATCAGATAACTGCGGCAGCATACGGGCGCCTGTCAAACCAACGGATAGCATACCGATACCTCAGTAAGAATTCGTTCACGACTCTGTATACCATATACTTCAGGCATATACTGGAGTATGCAGCACCAGTTTGGAATCCACACCTAGTCAAGCACGTCAAGAAATTAGAGAAAGTGCAAAGATTTGCAACAAGACTAGTCCCAGAGCTGCAGGGATTGTCCTACGAAGAAAGGTTGAGGGAAATCGGCCTGACGACACTGGAGGACAGGAGGGTCAGGGGAGACGTGATAACGACATATAAAATACTGTGCGGAATAGACAAGGTGGACAAAGACGGGATGTTCCAGAGAAGGGACACAGACACAAAAGGTCACAATTGGAAGTTGAACACTCAGATGAATCGAAGGGATGTTAGAAAGTATTTCTTCAGTCATAGAGTAGTCAGGCCGTGGAATAGCCTAGAAAGTGACGTAGTGGAGGCGGGAGCCATACATAGTTTTAAGGCGAGGTATGATAAAGCTCATGGGGCAGGGAGAGAGAGGACCTAGTAGCAATCAGCGAAGAGGCGGGGCCAGGAGCTGTGACTCGACCCCTGCAACCACAAATAGGTTAGTACAAATAGGTGAGTACTCATGCACACACACACACACACACACACACACACACACACGATCATGTAGTTTTAAGCTTCGAATACACAGTAGAGCTAGAAGTGGAGTGGGAAGCAGGAAGGCCAGGACGAATGAACCCAAACTACAAGAAAGGGGACTACACGGGAATGAGGAACTTCCTGAACGGGGTTCAGTGGGACAAAGAACTGGCAGGGAAGCCAGTTAATGAGATGATGGAATATGTAGCACAAATGTGCAAGGAGGCTGAGGAGAGGTTTGTACCCAAGGGTAACAGGAATAATGAAAAAGCTAGGATGAGCCCATGGTTCACCCAAAGATGCAGGGAGGCAAAAACCAAGTGTGCTAGGGAATGGAAAAAATATAGAAGGCAAAGGACCCAGGAGAATAAGGAGAGCAGTCGTTGAGCTAGAAACAAATATGCACATATAAGAAGGGAGGCCCAACGACAATGTGAAAACGACATAGCAGCGAAAGCCAAATCTGACCCGAAACTGTTATACAGCCACATCAGGAGGAAAACAACAGTCAAGGACCAGGTAATCAGGCTAAGGAAGGAAGGAGGAGAGACAACAAGAAATGACCGTGAAGTATGCGAGGAACTCAACAAGAGATTCAAAGAAGTGTTCACAGAGGAGACAGAAGGGGCTCCAGAAAGACGGAGAGGTAGGGAACACCACCAAGTGCTGGGCACAGTGCATACAACCGAGGAAGAAGTGAAGAGGCTTCTGAGTGAGCGAGATACCTCAAAGGCAATGGGGTCAGATAACATCTCCCCATGGGTCCTGAGAGAGGGAGCAGAGGTGCTATGTGCACCCCGAACAACAATATTCAATACATCTATCGAAACAGGGAGATTGCCTGAGGCATGGAAGACAGCAAATATAGTCCCAGTCTTTAAAAAAGGAGACAGACATGAAGCACTAAACTACAGACCAATGTCACT